GCATATTTACTGTCAGACAGGGTGTATAATGAAAGACCTGGGTTCTCTGGTGGTCGGAGCAGCTTCCCTGGAGGAGATTCAGCCCAGAGGCAAAACGGCTAAACCCAGACATTAAAAAGTGATAAATGATCAGAGCGGCGGTGACTGTGGAGAGGACACTCGTTTTGTATTCAAGTCAGGGACGTTGATTAGTTTAGAGAGTGGCTCTTTCAGGGAGTCTTTATCAGTGATGGGCGTTTTATAGCCTGAAGAAACAGACTTTTGAATAGAAGGACCTTCATTAGAGAATAATGGAGAATCCTTTTCAGCTAAATGACTGTAATGGCTCATGGGTCAAAGCTGATTCCAATATCAGAGAAAGCAAGATATTGAGGATCAAAAATGGTTTTATTGATAGGGAAACCTGCCTTTCATGAAGCATATTCAGTCTATACACCAACACTGAAACACATGAGCACATACTACAATTTAAAAAAGCAGAAATAAAATCTGAGCTGACAGAAAATGCTCCGTTTTAGTTTAACACACAGTTAAGCTCACACACACTATTTGTCGTGGCTTCCTTCCTTGTCTTTCCATTAAGCCACTAGACGCCTTAAACAGACAGTTCTAACTCGTTTCTTTCCTTTAAATTACTCACAGTTTGAAGTGTTGATTGGCCTCCGATGGTTTAGATGATGTTGCGATGTGTTTGCTCAAAATAAAATAACAAACTTTTGCACATGCAACAAAGAAAATAGGCCTTTACAATATTCAAAAGAAATAAGCAAAACTCAAATAAAACTAGAAAATGCATTTCCTGCAGAAAATGCGTGCGAATGCTGTAAACTGTGAATGAATTTAGCTGAAAATGCAGAAAAAGCTGAATATGTTATTAGCTGAATGGTAGCTGCTTTTAGCTACAAAAATGCAGAAAAAGCTTAATATTTAAAAGAAAAGGTTTAAAAAAACATGTGTAGCCTTGATGTCCTGAAATAGCTGAATAATGTGATAGTTGAATGGTTTCTGCAGCTGAAAATAGGCTGAAGGAGTTAAATATCAGATGTAAGTAGTAGTGAATGAATTTGTATTAAGATGAGAAAAGAAAGTAAAAAGGCTTGGGAAAGCAGCAGAATATTTGAACTACAAACTTTTGAACTAACTTGATGGTGAATTATCTGTCGCCATGGCAACGGCATTTGATGACACCCCATAATACGCTTAGATGTGTTGATGGCTGCATCGTTACCAAACCTGTGAAGTTTTGGGCCATTTCGAGCATTTTCACTGAAGTTATGAGAAAACCGTGTTTCATGGTGAGCATTGTGTTGCCATGGCAACGGCATTTGAAGAAATCTCAAAACTGTCCCGTAGATGTCTTCACGGCTGGACTGTTAGCACACATGTGAAGTTTGAGCACTTTTTGAACATTTTCATAGTAGTTATACATTACATTACTCTCTCTCTTCTCTTGATCACCCTCTCAATCTTCTATCGCCCTCTCTCTCTTCTCTTGATCGCCCTCTCTCTCTTCTCTTAATCGCCCTCTCTCTCTTGATCGCCCTCTCTCTCCTCTTGATCGCCCTCTCTCTCCTCTTGATCGCTCTCTCTCTCTCCTCTTGATCGCCCTCTCTCTCTTCTCTTGATCGCCCTCTCTCTCTTCTCTTGATCGCCTCTCTCTCCTCTCTTGATCCCCCTCTCTCTCCTCTTGATCCCCCTCTCTCTCTCCTCTTGATCGCCCTCTCTCTCTCTTCTTGATCGCCCTCTCTCTCTCCTCTTGATCGCCCTCTCTCTCTCCTCTTGATCGCCCTCTCTCTCTCCTCTTGATCGCCCTCTCTCTCTCCTCTTGATCGCCCACTCTCTCTCCTCTTGATCGCCCTCTCTCTCTCTTCTTGATCGCCCTCTCTCTCTCCTCTTGATCGCCCTCTATCTCTTCTCTTGATCGCCCTCTATCTCTCTTCTCTTGATCGCTCCTCTCTCTCTCTCCTCTTGATCGCCCTCTCTCTCTTCTCTTGATCGCCCTCTCTCTCCTCTTGATCGCCCTCTCTCTCTCCTCTTGATCGCCCTCTCTCTCTCCTCTTGATCGCCCTCTCTCTCTCTCCTCTTGATCGCCCTCTCTCTCTTCTCTTGATCGCCCTCTCTCTCTTCTCTTGATCGCCCTCTCTCTCTCTCCTCTTGATCGCCCTCTCTCTCCCCTCTTGATCGCCCTCTCTCTCTCTCCTCTTGATCGCCCACTCTCTCTCCTCTTGATCGCCCACTCTCTCTCCTCTTGATCGCCCTCTCTCTCTCTCCTCTTGATCACCCTCTCTCTCTTCTCTTGATCACCCTATCACTCTTCTATCACCCTCTCTCACTTCTCTTGATCGCCCTCTCTCTTCTCTTGATGTGTCTGTGAGAGAGAGGGAGAGTGTGTGTGTGTGTGTGTGTGAGAGAGAGAGAGAGAGAGAGAGAGACTGTCTGTCTGTCTGTCTGAGAGAGACTGTGTCTGAGAGAGAGAGAGAGAGACTGTGTCTGAGAGAGAGAGAGAGAGAGAGAGACAGACTGTGTCTGAGAGAGAGAGAGACTGTGTCTGAGAGAGAGAGAGAAATAAAGATATTAAATGTAAGTAGTAGTGAATGAATGTTTACAAACACCTGTGTGTGTAAACCCAGAGATGAAAGGTTACCATGGTGACGACTTATGACGATTTACCAACGCAGCACTGAGTCCCATTAAGAATGCATTGAGGATTATATCTGACAATTTTGTCACCTGTTCAAAAACTATGGCTCCTATCAAAAAATGACCAGACCGTGAGCATCAGGGAACCCCAATGAACTGATATATGTTGTTTTTTTTGGTTTTGTGTGTAAAATGTGGAGATGGGAGCAGTTTGTCTAAAGTGTACTTCTCTCTGTTCTGAAGAAAGTTCCGGAAAGATTTAACATGGTAATCAATTGGGAGCTAGATGGACTTTTTGTCTCTTCATGCCCGCAAGAGGCATTTTGTTTAATATTTCTTCTTCATTTTTTTTTTTATTTTCCAACCTAAGAGAGGTTTTCCTACGTTTTTCATGAAAAAATATGTCTGAGGAGTGTAGGGTTTGGGAATTATGGCAAGTTTAAAACATTTTTTGAGGAGAATTTGAAGCACCCCTCCACTCTGTTTTGAGATCAAAGCACTCTAGACTTAACGAGCTGCTCCATCCACACTAATGTTAAAATCTGAAAAAGGCCTCTCTACCAAGCTCCAAACAAAGTTAATTATCTCAAGAAGTGTAAAAGATATCAAAAATAAAAGTCAATTTTGAATAGTTGAAGGTCTTGTGATCATTTGAAAGTTGGAATGAAGTGTCTAGCTGAAAGTATGTGGAAGGAGTAGCATTTGGCGCAAAGTGTAGGAAAAGAGGATTTGAAGGCATCTCCCATTGACTTCCATGTTAAAAAAAGAGTTTAAAAAGCTGAATATTTCAAAAAGTATAACATATTTTAAAAAAGTTGAAGGTTTCCCATCGATTCCTGAACAGGCTGAATAGTTTGATATTTGAATGGTTTGATATTTGAATGGTTTCTGTAGCTGTGGCACAGCATTCGCACTAATAAAGAAATTGAAGTACTATAGTGGAATGCTGTGGCACAGCATTCGCACTAATAATATTAAGGGGAAGAATAAAGATTTGAAGAACTATAGTGGAATGCTGTAAACAGCATTCGCACTAATAACAAACAACTTAGGTATTCTTTCTTTCTTGATAATGCTTATAACTTCATAACTTAAAGGGTACTTGTACGATTTGTATGTACGGTTAACAACTGTTCCTCGACGGCGTCTCTCAACAGGTTGCCCATCACTGTGGCTTTAGCACAGGCGCCGTGGGAATTGTAGTCCTTTATAGTGCGTTGACTACAGACGTCACAATTAGGTGGCCTTTCTTATCAAATAAAAATACTGGCTCTAACACTATTGTATGAACATATAGGTTCACCTGCTGAAGTAAAAACAGAACAAATGAAGCAAAGAAAACCATGAAGCAGATTCAGGCAGTAGAAGTATAGATTCACAATTAAAGTATTATCCTACAGAACAGAACAGCTCACAGAGAAGAGAGAACATCTGATGCTTTTACAACAAACACTATATGCTCTTTTTAGTTTGTTACTAACACTGTAGTCCTGATTGTAATCCCCAATTTTAGAAATGTAATCTGATTAAGTCTGTTTTAATGCACCTGTAAGGGAATACATTAGGTTATTAGCACTAGTTTTTGCCTTTCCTGAATAAAAGTAAAGGACCAATTGTGGGGGAAACTTCTGAAGCAATAGGAGTCAGGACGAGGAGAGCTGGAGCTTTGATGGCAAACACTGACGGTTCATTTGGAGCTTCGGCCGGAGAATTCACAAGACATGTCACGGGCCACGGTTTGACCACACGGTAGAGATGCCACAATCAATTCTGAAGACCCTTCCTGTAGTTCCAGGGTTTAACTAGTTCAGAGTGTAATAATCAACATTCTTCAATAGATAGACTAAACAGCTGAGGACACTGAATCACATTTGTTGTCGCTTATGGCTCGGGGTCATCTACACCCCGAGAAGGATGTGTTCCAGGTGTCCCACAACAATAACTATCTCTGACCGAGAGTTGCCCGGTCACAAACTGGCAACATCAACAATATGCTAGGGCAGCCCCTCCTTATGGGAGATAGCGGCTGCTCAGCTGCGTCAGAGGGCGAAGGAGGACATGCAGGGCAAATTATTCCCCAACACCAACTACTTTAACTTCTCATTTAGGTGGAGTTTTAGTGAAGTACTAAACTATATTTATGAATCAGAATACATTTTCCACCACTGTAAATGTGGTTGTAATAAAAGAGTTTCAGACTGAACGGCTCTGGTTGTTCTTGGTGCACACTGCCCCTCAGAGGATGGAAGCAAGACATTTATAGTAGGAAATAAAACTCAAGAGAAATAGAAATCATTTGAATTGTTTTATCACACAAACACAGCAAAGCACAGCAAATCACAGCAAATCACAGCAAAGGATCAAAAACAAATGTACATATTGTGTCCGGTCTGTTTTGTTTTAGTTTTATTCATTCTGAGCTTTCTGAGATTATTCTTGTGAAGTAGAGAACCGCCGGCTGAGCACAGACGTTCTGGATGCTGTAAGCACTTCCTGTGGAAACAGAACGGTACAAAATCATTAAAACCATCGAGGCACATCGGACAATTTACTGCTGAAGAAGAAAAAGGCTCTGGTTTCAGACAGGGGGTGAAAAGAGGTGCTGCAGCACAGGCAGTATGAGAACAATACAGAGCTTTTTGAACATTAAAGCATGGAGACATGTCCCAGTAGAGACACTACATACTAGGGGTGTTGAAATTAACCGTTTCTGCGATGCGGACGATTCTGCATCGATGCAGTGACAGAACATAATCGATTATAGCGTAGTAACGTTGCTTCCTGATTTCACGGCCGCGGCTTTACAATAAAGTCTTTTTTTCTGTGACTTTAATATCAAATCGGTCGGTGACGCAGAGATCAGGGAACAGACGTCACAACGGCACATCGACTCCAAACACGGAGCAGTCGGCTTTATCCACCAACACAAGAACACCAGTCCAGAACCAACAGCAGAAGGACCCGCTCTGAATCGGTCCGTGTCGCTGCGGCTCAGACACACAAGGATTTATGTTTTAAAAGAATACTCGCGTTACAATCATGTCAGGTTTTTGGTGGATTTAGTTAAGTCTTGGATTGCAGAGTATGAATGTCCTCTTGCTATTTTCAGACGATATATACACATGTGTAAAGTTTGTGAAGGCAGGAGGAAAAAGCTTCCGCGATCACCGTCTCCTCTGTTCCTCCAAACCCCGGACAGGCTGATAGTGACCTGATAGAAACGTTATTATTCACTTAATCCCTGATTGAGATGATGAAGCTAACTTAATCTCCTACAATCATGGGATGTATGTAACAGCAAGACAGAGAATGTAAGTGTGCACCCACATGCTGTTGTAAATACTCCTGTTGTCTGCTGTGTTCAGACTCAAGTCATGTTAGTGATGCCACATTCAGGACATTCAGTGTCCTTTTTTAAACAGAAGACCGTTGCTAGAAGCTGCAGCTAGACTGCAGAAGCATTCGATTTTGAGGATGGAACAATTTCACACACAGATACTGTATAGGGATGCTAGAGCTATACAATTGATTTACTTTGGTTTATAAATTAATGCCAATACATTTATGTTATTGATTTCTGAAGCACTTTCTAAATAATAATAATTACTACATGTATTCATTGATGAAAAAGAAGCCATGTGCAGTAATATAGAAAATTGAGGATGCAACGCATTGGTATGAATCGAATCGGTGACAGGATAATCGTAATCGAATCGTGAGACCAGTGAAGATGCACAGCCCTACTAAATACTGATATGAAAATGAGCAGAATGGGGCCTCTTCAGAACGGACTAAGGTTGTGTTTTAAGTGTGTAATTTTACCCTGTGTAAAGTGTCCCTTAAATGCGCGTTATAAATCAAATGTATTATTATCATTATTATATTCTTACCGCATGGCACCACGAAGGATTGTCCAGGGTTGAAGCGGGATTCCCTGCCGTTGATGGTCACACTCACAGAGCTTGTTAATAAGTTAAAAACCTTTATAAAGAAAAACAATGACAGAAATGATTAGTATTAAGACACTAGAGAGGACAGTGAGTATAACGCAGAGATGTGGGAGGGTACTGACGGTGGCGGCGCTGTGGTCCACCAGCAGAGGTTTCTTCATGAAGGAGCCCAGCAGCATCTTCCCGTTGCAGAATGATCCGCTGTTAACGTCCATCGTCAAGCCGATCGCCCGGCCCTGATAGCAGAACCACTCGAACTGATCCGGGAAGATCTCAGTACTACCTACTGCAAAAAATGAACAGAAAAATGTATTTAAAGACCAAGAACTTTTGCCTAAAAATAGCATGATAGGTGACCTTTAAGACTATATAAATATATATAAAATAATGTATTTTATTACATCATTGCCTCTGCAATGGATTATTATCGGATAGGGTAATAACTTCATAATTAACTACGTCTGACAGCAGAAGTCTGGGGCAAATCATTGCAAGTCTCATGAGATGCATTGTGGGACACGTTTTTTTTGTCAAACTGATGTAAGTGCCTGGCTTTGTTTTTGTATGTTTTGTAATGAAAAAAGTCAAAAAGTGTCAAAAATAAATACAAATTTCTATTGAAACTATAACCTGTAAATATGAATAATAACTCTTTACTGCAGGTTGATTTGTTCGCTCAAACTATGCAAAGAATGGACTCAAATATATTTGGTTTGAATCGATTTTTTCCTAAACAAACAAGCGTCCACATGATACGATTCTATGTAATCTGTGCGTCTGGAGAAAATACAGTATTATCTTATCGTATAGTATTGTTAGGTGGAAAGGCCCATGTGAAATCACGCTTTCATTATGTATGCAAATGGGCCAGAAAAATACCCCACATGCAGACTGATCTTTCTAAGAAACAGCATTCAGTCTTTTCTGCGTGTTTTATTGTGGGGGAAACTTCTGAAGCAATTGGAAACAGGACTCAGAGAGACACGAGGAGAGATGGAGCTTTGATGGCAAACACTGACGGTTTATTTGGAGCTTCGGCCGGAGAATTCACAAGACATGTCACGGGCCACGATCTGACCACACGGTTGAGATGCCACCATCAATTCTGAAGAGCCTTTGGGTGTTTCTCAATCGCGAGTAAAGCTGCTTCCGAGCCACTATTTCAAGCATACTACGTCATCGAGTGCCGCCGAAGTACTGTACCAATCTCCAGTATACTTGGAAATCTACCGAGCCCGGCGTACTCCGTTTGGAGAAATATCGAGTGTGCACATGAGTAGACTTCGCGGCCTTAAAATCCCCACAATGCTTTGCGCACGGACCAATTTCCCCAAACCTGTGGCGGAAGATGTAAGGCGGAGCCTCTCATATGACGCACACCTGCACACTTGCTAGCCTGTTCCACTCTTTGTTTTCCGAATGGCAGGAAGTATTCTTGCCTCGCTTCTGAAGCAAGATGCTCGGCAGACATGTGCTACCAAGCAAGCGTACTCGCGATTGAGAAACACCCTTTCTCTCGTAGGACCTTTAGCTAGTTTGCTTGAGAGTAATCAGCATTCTTCACTAGATAGACTAAACAGCTGGGGAAACTGAATCAACTTTAGTTGTCGGTTATGGCTCGGGGTCATCTACACCCCGAGAAGGATGTGTTCCAGGTGTCCCACAACAATGACTATCTCTGACCAAGAGTTGCCCGGTCACAAACTGGTAACAACAACAATATGCTAGGGCAGCCCTTCCTTAAGGGAGATAAGGTTGGGCATCTGCGTCAGAGGGCAAAAGGTAAACATGTATACAGAATTATTCCCTGACATTTATATATATTTCCTCACCTTTGACAGGCAGCGCCCAGAGGTTCTTGAACCACTCGGACAGGTTGGCTTTGTCCTTGGTCAGCAGGGTTATCGGTTTGAGCGGAGGAGCGCACAGATCTGACAGAGAGAGAGCCTCCTGCACTGTGGAATTCGGCAAAACTGGAACAAAGGAAAGAAGATACCATTATATAAAATGAAAGAGGGATGGGTAACGACTAAACCAGCAGATGGAGCTGTTTCTACTGGTAGCATCAGATACATATTGACGCTATATTTGATTATTTAATGAATACTGTGGTGGATATTTTGAATTATGGTTCTCTTTGTCCAGTGTCGAGGCCTGATATGGGAAATGTATCACTATCAGCGTTTCCACCAGGGGGGCTTCTTGCCGTCATTCGACGCCCTTATTCAGCTCGGAACGCCCTGAACTCGAGCCGTGGGCGCCCAAAAAAAATTGAGAAGAAGATCGAGAGTTTTTATCGCTTGAAATGACGAAAAGGAAAAAGGACAAGGACATTAGGGCTGAACGATTAATCGATTTTAAATTGAAGTCGCGATTTGAAATGATGCAATTATCAAATCGCAAAGCCTGCGATTTTTTTTTCTTATGTGTCAGTCATCCACACCAATCAGAAGTGCTGTGCTCCACATGTACCAGTCATTGTTAACCAATCAGAAGTGCTGTGCTCCACATGTACCAGTCATTGTTAACCAATCAGAAGTGGCCCATGATAGAAGGTGATAGACAGATTGATCCAATCACCTGCGTTTTTATTCCAGTTTATCAAAGTGTGATTATTATTCATTCCTTAATACCAATAGTCGTGGTTCCCCATCATAAACCTGACAACATTTTCAAAGAGATAAGGGTTGGTGTTAAGGAGGACATTGTGTGGGGAAAGAAACTTAGGTTAGGTAAATATCTATCAAGAACATTTGGTATACATTAAAGTATATTGTAAATTGTTAAATGTTTAAAAACATACTCGAGCTGTCGTCCTCGTACTGCTCCGGAACAATCATGGAGGACGGCCCACTTCTCAAGAGCCTCGACCTGTGGGAAAATAGTGGGAAATATAAACGTGTATCGACAGTAAGAGGGAGATATTAAGAGAGACTCAGACTCGTCCTCACCGATCCACTGAATGACGCTGTGGCCCCTCATCCTGGGGGCTGCTGTGGTGTATGAGGTCGTTAGGAGTACTGTGTACAGATAGAGAGAGATATAAAGATGGGTTATATATCACAAGTGTTGTGATAGAATTCAAATCAAGACGAAATAAATTATTAGCAGAATACCCTAACTAACCAAAACATGGGAATACCTAACTGCGGTTTTTTTGTCTTCTAATATTTATTTATTTTTGTATCTTTATCCGGTCATTGTGTTTTTGGATTAACTTAAAAACAGATTAAACAAGATATATCATTATATGATTATGATAATAATATTTATAACTACTATAACAATGACTATTATCATAATTATCTTAATTATCAGTTTACATAAAAATAGGATGAGTAATGAAACCGTCTTGTTATCTGAACATGGACTTGTAGGAATGTATTTGTTTATTTTATTTGCAACAGTCTCACGGCATTTCGTGTTATAGTCACGAAATTAATCTATTGATTCGTGTTCACCAACACGATTTCCCAATTTTTTTCGTGTCACAGAGAACGATTTTAGAAGCAATGTATTTCTATTGGTAGTATGTTTCATGCCTGCACCAAATAATAACAAATTAGAAGGAAAAAAAGATGACATAAAATACAGATGTCAGTATTCTGAGGCTCTGAGACATTTCTTTTCCTCGCGGACGGCAAAAAAACTCCGACATTATACAATTTAGAATAAAAGGGATAGGGTTAGGCTTAGGGTAAGATATTGAGTAAGAAAATATTTTTATGAACCACACAGCTTCTGGTATTCCAAGACCCGACCGGACAAAAAGACGTGGTGCAGGCACGAAACATAATACCATGCTTTTAAAATCGTTCTGTGTGACACGAAAAAAATGTGAAAATCGTGTTATTGAACACGAATCAATAGATTAATTTCGTGACTATAACACGAAATGCCGTGAGACTGGGTTGGTATATGTGTACATATATATAGAATTTAGTTTATCTGTGTGAGTATTTCATTACGGAATTATCTTTTATTTACTTAACCTTAACGGGAGGGCTACCTCTGTGTAAACTCTGCTTTCTGCCCTCCGCTTCTACTCATTGTTTGTTTTTCTAGATGTATAAACTGTTGTTGAAATAGTAGAATAAATAATAAAAAATACATATATTTTGTGTGTTCTGACAAATATATCCTGCTATATACCTGAACACGGGACAGTCAGCGGGAGGGATTTCCTCCACAGGACGCTCCGGCACTTTCTGTCTCTTCCTCCGACCTCTGCCCACACTCGGGGGCTTGTTTGAAGCGGCCCGAGATCTCTTCAGCGGAGACTGTGGGTTTAGGAGCGGCACGGAGGAACTCTCTTTGGGAGGTGGAGGAGATCTGATGCGTTTCTTCCTTCCTTTCCGAGGTTTGGGCTTCTGCTGCTGAGGGGAGAGGCTCTCCACGTCCTGCACCGCCCACCAGCTCCCGGGGGCTCTCCTGCCCCGCCTCACTGCGCTGAGAGGCTCCTTCCTTTGAGGCGCTTTCCTTTGAGGCGCTTTCTTCTTACTGGAGACAGGCTGGCATACTTTTTGAAACGGCTTCTCCCCTGTTGAAGGCAAGGCAAGTTTATTTATATAGCACCTTTCAACACAAGGCAATTCAAAGTGCTTTACAAAAATGAAAGATATTAAGAAACATATTATAAAATGGCATTTAAAAAACACTAAGTTAAAAGCGTGAATAACAAAGGAACATTCATAAAAGTCACAGCAGTGTGAGATACACACATCTGAAATGTTTAGCTCCGACTCTCAATCATTGCTCACTTTTTAGCAGACAGTTTTCTACGACTTCACTTTCTTTCTACTTTCTTGTTTAACTTATCCTTTAGTTGTTTCAAGTGTTTCATGCTAAACGAACCCCCCTTTGGAACATTATAATCTGACCTAGGGCTGTGCAATTAATCGCAATTACAATTTTGGCCTGCCACAATTACGAAAACAACATAATCGAAAAAAACAATTATTTTGCTTTGCTAGGTTGTGACAGTGCACTGCAACATATTTGATCTAATTTATTTTAGTCTCATTTATTTGTATTTATCATATTTATATATGTTTAGTAGCTTGTGGAAGTGCGCTCCAAAATATTTGTTGATCTTGTTTATTGGTATTTATTATTTTTATATTATTTATTTAAATGTATCATTTATTTTTGTATTGGTTTTTCAGTTGAATTATATGTTCAGGGTAATCAACAGTTAAAAAGATACTGTTCAAATTATTATTTGTATTTGTTTTAAAGTTCAATAAATGGATGTTTTCAAAGTCAATGAATAATCGTATTTAATAATCGTGATATCAATTATTGACCCAAATAATCGTGATTATGATCTTTGCCATAATCGCACAGCCCTAATCTGACCCCATTGTACCTGTTAGTTTTCGCCTAAACTATTCCTCTTTAACAGAAAGGAACATAATCTTAGGCGCCATTTACACGAGGAGAAAACTGCTTGTATCTGCATAGTTTCGCGTGCGTATAGCCCTATTATTTACACGAGGCCGATAGAAACTGACCCCACAAACGATAACGGGTCCCAAGGTGGATAGATTTGCAAACGAAACGCTCTGGGGGGTCAACCGAGTCCGTGTAATCACCTCGATACGAATATTTCCTGAAAAAATAACGATAGCCCCGCCTCTCCCCACCTCTCCTGCTCACTGCTGTAGCAACTATCAAAAATAGCTGTGTTAATTAAACGCACAAGGGGTTCTTGAATTACATAATATTATAAAAGGCAAACCAGAATTGTTAACGCCCAATATACTCCTTAAACAAAATAAACAGAGTCAGATTTCATGCATTGATCCATTATATTGACAAAGGAGGATCTCACCCCGGTGTTTGTAGAGAATATCTCTCTTTCTGAGCCGTACTCTCCACAGAGACGTGCTTCTTGGTTTCTTTCAGTTAACTTCCCCGTTGCATTTATCCATATGCTGAGGAAATGACTATATCCCGCTGAATACCAGCAATCGCCACACACACTGACTTCCTCCTGTCAGTAGCTACTGCTACTGACCATGCCACAGATATTAGTGCAAAAATATACAGCTCCTCTACCACAACCATCAGCAACAAGTGGACATGGAGAATTACATGAACTACATGTTGCTAAATACACCACAGGGCATGAACAGAAGGGTAGCCATGGCAACATTGCGGCGGGGGCTGCTGGGCTGCTCTTCTTCGCTACTTTTGGTGTATTTTGGCGGAAGTTACAGCGCCACTTACAGTCCCGGCATATGTACTACAGCGTTTCCAGCGGCCTCGTTTGAACAGACACGTTAAATGAAACAAATGCATGTGAACGGAAGACTTTTTTGAATACGCATACTGTGCATAAACGCAAACGGTCCCGTGTGAGCGGGGCCTTCGTAAGGAACAGAGATCATTGGTTGGTCTGTTTGTAGGGCTGAATATGTAAATGAAGTATTGTGAAGCTGCAGAGACGTCCCTGCATACATATGTTATTTTATAGACTTGTTTAAAAGATCTTAGTTAGGTAGGTAACGATCCTCCTAAAACAATTACAACATGATCATTTTAATAACTTTCTGTTTGTTTACAAAACTCAAATACAGGTACTATTAAAGAGTACAGATACATGTTGCTAAGCACGTCGTTAAATGCAGCACTTTAACTGGTAACACATATTACCACACAGATTGGTGCTTCTGTCAAAGACCTTCATTTCTAGTACTTTGTTAGTCTTTTACTGGCTGTGTTTGGTTTTCTTTACACTTTCTCTGTATACTGTTTTCCCTCCCTCAAGTGATCTGCTGTCTCTGTGCAACAGTTTAATAAAAAGGGACTTTGAGAATCACATTTTAATAAGAAACAGAGATTATTGGTTGGTCTGTTTGTAGGGCTGCAAAATATATTTATATTATTCAAATCGCAATATGGAGCATCTTGCAGTTATATTCAAGATATGTGAATAGATTTTTTCCTAAATCTGCAGCCCTATTTAACTCAAATACAGGTATTTTTTCTATTTGCACAATTGTTTTAGTAAAAAGAGTTCAAATACATGTTGCTTTTACTTCAATGCGACCTTAACTGCTGGATTTGTACTTGTAACAGATGCCTATTATCACATGATGGACGATATGAACGCTGCGGGGGGGAGAAAAATCCCAGGAACTAACGGAACTAAAAGGGAAAAGTACGGGGAAAAGTACTCCGGTGTGAAAGCGCCTCAATACGTATGAAGAGATTTTAGGAGTTGTTTACCTGAAAGAGCCCCCAGGTCTGTAGCCCCCACTTCCTCGCTGCTCGGACCTTGTTTCTTTGAAGCCTCGTCCGTTTCTCCATCAGATCCCTGCGGCACTTTTTTGCCCCTCTTCATCGGCTTAGCTCTGCTCGTCTTGGCATCTTTTAAAGTCTTTGAGTTAAGAGCTTTCTTATCTATTCTCACAGCGGGTTCATCTTCCCGCGTTTCCTTGCTTGTTTTCGGCGGCTCCTCTTCCTCGTCGCTCAGAATCAGGATAACATCCTCTGGTTCAGGAGGAGGAGGAGTGGGTACTTTCACGGGTGATGCAGACTTCCTCGTACTAAAAATAAGGATTATTTAATATTACATTTCAATGAATATGTAGAGCCATTACTTGGTAAATATATATAGTGGTTTTGCCAACTCACCATGCAGGTTTGGACAGTGTGCGTTCTCTGAGCTTCTGAAAAAAAGCCACAAGGTTTTTTTGCACGCAGGCGGGCTCCACTAACGGCTGCTCGGGAACAGTTTCAATGGTTTTCTCAGGAGCTGCGAGTTCAGGCTCTCGTCCCACTGCTGCTGCGGGGGGGGCTACCATTTCTATCCTGGAAATAAACAACCAAAATATTCTTCAAATAACAAAATTAAGTTCTAAATTGGCACAATAGGCTGTATTGCGAGATTATATAGATAAAATATTGTGTGTGATTTTGGAGAATTACATTATTTAATAACATCTCTTTGAGTTGCACATGTATGACTAACTTAATGTTATTTTTTGTTAGCCATATTTATTTATACCGTATGTATATTCTATGACAATTCTTAAATATTACATTACATATTTCGTTGTACCAACTCCAGTATTGTTTAATCACCAAAACATAATAGTAACTACTCATCAAACACTCTTCACTTCCTACCTTGGTGTTTTTCTTTGGACCTCCACAACAGGTGTTTGAGGTTTCTGCGCTGGGTTTTTACTGAGAGTTTGAGTCTCTTTACTGCAGGAAAGAAGAGAATATACATCACAGGTAAATGAGTTAAAAGTGACAGTCATCTAAAAAAGGCAAACATCCACAAATGTAACTCAGTAGCACGCAATTAAAGGGCAGATATCATAACAAAATTGACCATTGAGACGGCAATGTGACTCGTTTATCGGCCGCCAATCGATATCGGCCGGTGCTCTCTATAAATGCCGATCAGGAGAGCCGATCACATGACGTAAAATACATGACACGTTTCTCTGTGCGCGGCAAAACAAGCTCGCCAAAATGGCTTCACCGGTCTGGCAGTATTTTAAGGTGTCCGAAAAAGACAGTAAAATAGCGGCATAGCCGTGGGAACATGTTTCAAATGGGGGGTGCTGTGGGGATGACCACTTTGCTGCCCTAGGCTTCAAATGTATTTAGTATTGCATGAACGTGTTTTAATTCCGGCGCAGACTGAAAACACATCTCTTTCGACTCCACTTCGAGCGATAGAACTATTAACAAAGAATTTCTAACAAAGCACTTATATACTAATAAAGGACTGGCTTATCTAAAGCCAGTTGAGTAGCACTTGAAATGTTTTGGCTCTATGAAACCTGATGTACTTATATGATTCTGTTTTCTTCAAGTTTGTATCTTCCTGGTCGAATGCACTATTGTAAGTCGCTTTGGATAAAAGCGTCAGCTAAATGCAATGTAATGTAATGTAATTGGGGGGTCATTTATATCTTATGTTTACCTAGTTAACATTTATTTATGCATGCAATATTTTTGGTTTACTGTCCATAGTATACATTGGAATGATTTCAAACCTGTTTTTATTTATCCTAATAATTATAAAGGTGTGCCTTGGAAATATTTGTTTACATAAATTGTGATCAAACCGTTTGAGACCCACTGAGATAACTTAGACTAAAGTGAACTGTCTAAACCCTCAGAGTCCTTTTCCTCAATGAGCCTCTCAGTCAGGACAGAACTCTCCCTCCACATTATTGTAGAAACAGCTTCATTTTTGCGGGATCTGTGAAGAACAGCTGCACTACTGGTATTTTGTATGCCAGCAATTGAGGGTGGACACGTTTCCTACCACTTAAGTTTCAAATAATTGTGTTAATTACTTATTGTAAAGCATTTGAACATTCTTTTGTGTCACATGTTCATTATTAAGTTGATGTATAACTGTATAGTATCTTAATTATTTAAAATATAATGTGACTAAAAATGGCAACCGTGTTTTCAGTTTTGGAAACCAAAAGCTGATGCCTGGTTGCCAACCTGGCAACCACTTTTAAAAGTTAGCGTTGAGCCCTGGAAGTGTTAATTTCGAACGAAATATGTTCGTCAACGACCTTTTTTTCCATGACTAAAAACGAGACGATGACGAGACGGCAGTAAACAATAACTGTAACGAAATCAACATGCAATATCGTTGACGAAAAGTGACGAGACGAAAATGTAGTTTACTATATAAAAACTATGGCAAAATCTCTCTTTACTTTCGTTGACGAAAAATGAGGAAACGAAATATTATCAAAGATAACGTTACATCTCTGATAGTCAGTTTTTCTCCCAGCAGTTCAATTTCCGGTGCTGCGGCTGGGCAGCAGCTGTGTCTGTGCTGCGCGCGGCGGTCCTTATTATACATCGATGGCGGCGGTACATTTGAATCACACCGGGCCAGCCATAGATATATATATATATAAACAGATGACTCGCCCGCGCTGCTGGCCAACGGAGCAGTAGGGCCTGGCTCATTTCGTGGCGGCCATCTTGCCACAGGAAGCTCGCTCATTCATAACATTATGTCTATGGTGCACTATTGAAATAACCATAGCTTGCTCAATTTTCAACCAATTTTCAAACGGTTTGGTTTGTTATAAACATCAATTATGTAGTTATGATACTGCATACTTATAATGATGGACTTTTTTTTCAACATGTCTTGTTGTCTGTCTCCTGTATCATAGCCATGCTAATAACGTTTATAATAAACCAAATCGTTTGTAAATCAGTCAAGATTTCAGCGAGGTAAGAGTATTTGTGTGCAGATCACTCACCTTACAACAGCCGTAGCAGTAGTTGTTGACTGTGTCGAGATCAAGCCCCCAGGATGTGCGCCGGACTCTGAGTAAAATATTCCTTGTGGCCAAACGGCGGTACTACACTTCCGTTAGGTTGCTGGGCCCGGAAACACTTTTTCCTATTGACTTACATTGGGAAAGAGACGTCTGTAAATCGTTGGATACTTTTTTTGAAACTAAATAAACAACCCAGTATGAACGTTTGTATAGCCCTTATTAAAAACATTCGGTCCTCAAGTTGTAAAATGTGCTAATAACGTTATTCTGAGAGTTATTTTCCTCGGCATTATGAACGCGCATCTAACCCACGGGACCGCGCCGCCCGGCACGTTCATGTTACGTGTTCAGTACTACATGCGTTTTACCTTTACCCATGGATGCACAATAAGAACGGAACATATAATCCGGATGTGTTCCAGGTGTCCCACAACAATAACTATCTCTGACAGAGAGTTTCCCGGTCACAAACTGGCCACATCGACAATATGCTAGGGCAGCCCCTCCTTATGGGAGATAACGGCTGCTCAAGGTTGGTCAGCTGCATCAGAGGGCGAAGGAGGACATGCAGGGCAAATGATTCCCCAACACCAACTACTTTAACTTCTCATTTAAAGGTAGGGTAGGTAAGTTTGAGAAACCGGCTCGAGATCGCTAGAATTTGAATATACACAACCGGAGAAAATCTGCCACTTCCTTATAGAGCCCCTCCTCCAACACACACGAACGCGCACATGACCAATGAGGGCACGAGATAAGTTTGTGCACAGATGGAAGGCTGACAGGCAGGTAGGCCATCCAGTTATTTTAGCCGGGCCGGATAAAATGATTGGTCGTACTTTTTACAGTTCCACAGATATTTTTTTATGATTTTTTTTGTCAAAGCACTGAAGATATTCATTGCTATCGGGATGTTAAGAGCATTCCATGGAATATAACAAAAAGTGTATCTCGAGCCGGTTTCTCAAACTTACCTACCCTACCTGGAGTTGGAGGTGGAGTTTTAGTGAAGTACTAAACTATATTTATGAATCAGAATACATTTTCCACCACTGTAAATGTGGTTGTAATAAAAGAGTTTCAGACTGAACGGCTCTGGTTGTTCTTGGTGCACACTGCCCCTCAGAGGATGGAAGCAAGACATTTATAGTAGGAAATAAAACTCAAGAGAAACAGAAATCATTTTAATTGTGTTATCACACTGTACACAAACACAGCAAAGGATCAAAAACATCCTTTACGTAAAATTAAAAACAAAATTTTTTTCTTTCTATTTACATCTTATTGTTTAATACAGAAAGTAACTCAATTTTTTTTTTTTAAATGTACTGTAACGGACTGGTTATAATGTTGATGTTTGATGTGTTTGTTGTTCAGAGTTGTTTGCATTTTACAGAGTGTCAGTGAACGTGCCACTGTTTTGATGGACGGTTCTTGTGACCTGTAGCTGTGGGTTTGGGTGGGAGAGTGTTGTCTGGTTGGTTGGGGCTGGAAGAGGGAGGTTCCTGGAGGGGGAGACGCGGGAAGCGAGAGAGGAGCTAGGGGATATGTGACGGAGAGTGAGGATATACGACAGAGTTAGTGGATTGTTTGGCGTGGTTATGGCCAACAGTAACCTGTGATCTATATAATAAACTCCCGGATAAAGGACAAACCAAGCCTCCCTGTAGCGAGACGCTACAGTACATATTGTGTCCGGTCTGTTTTGTTTTAGTTTTATTCATTCGGAGCTTTCTGAGATTATTCTTGTGAAGTAGAGAACCGCCGGCTGAGCACAGACGTTCTGGATGCTGTAAGCACTTCCTGTGGAAACAGAACGGTACAAAATCATTAAAACCATCGAGGCACATCGGACAATTTACTGCTGAAGAAGAAAAAGGCTCTGGTTTCAGCGAGACGCTACATTTGGTGTCAGAAGTAAAAGTTCAACTCCGGATTAACGACAGCTAACTAGCGGCGTGCTACAGTGATTGCTGCCATACAGCCTACAGTTTCCATCTCGGTGAGAACATGTCGCTGTGGGACTACTCTAAAATTAAACGGGAGGAGGAAGCTGACGAGCGGCAACACTTCGGTGCTACTGAGGGTCGGGGAAGGGGAATGACTATGAGAATGGCCACTGAGGCTGGCTTTGACCGCCCCTGCTACTTCCCCGATAGAGACGCCACACGCGGGAAAACAGAGACAAAGAGGGCAGGCACGAGTCAACACACTGAGCAGCACAGAGAAGCCCTCCCCTCATCTATGAAAACACCCAGGTATGATGGCAAAGCTAACTGGGAAGCATTCCAGGCACAATTTGAATTGCTAGCCAAGGCTGGCAGGTGGTCTGCTGAAGAAAAGGCCCTCCAGCTCGCAATGTGCCTTACTGGGGATGCTTTAACCAGCCTGCTGCTACTTAACCCTGATGATAGGAGTGACTATGATGCTTTGGTGGGAGCTTTAAAGAGGCGCTTTGGACTATGCTCTGCAGCTAGCCTGCTCCGCTCTGAACTGTGTAGCCGCAAGCGACGGCCTGGGGAGCCGCTGAGGGAGCTCGCCAACGACATTGAGGGGCTGGTTCACCGCACCTATACTCCCATGCCTCCTGTTATCCAGAGTGAGTTAGCCCGGGACTACTTCCTCCAGGGCCTACTACCAGCCGACCTGCGTACACAGACTTTGCTCGCCCACCCCAAGTCTCTACAGGAGGCTTTGGAGCTAGCCACAGAGAGAGAGATGCTATGTACTGCTTCATGGAGTGCGGATGACCACACACCGAAGGTGAGCGCCGCATGCGGTATTGAGCTGAATACAGCAGAGCCGGCCTGGGTGGAAAAATTGACACAGCTTGTGCGTGCCACCACACTGAGACAGGAGGAGTCTCAGAGACCCCGCCAGAGGATCTGCTGGTGGTGTGGACAGCCTGGCCATCTGGTTCGAGATTG